TCAAATGAGATAGATAATGTCTCATTTTATAAATTAAATTCATATATAAATATAAATATAGTGTTTATTTTTCATTTGTATGTCTTAGATGACTCTAGGGTAAGAATGCATAAGAAAAGGAAATAAACATTTATTGATTTGCTTGTTTATTGATGCCTATTCATGCAATCATTTATCACTGCAAATATTTATTGAGAAGCCATATGAAATTCTTGCACTTGTATTATTTTATGTAATATTTACATTGGCCCTAAAAGATAGTTATTATTTTCTTTATTTAGAAATTTAAAATTCAGAAAAGATGCATGATTAGACCAAGATCACATAGCTAGTGGCAAGGTTGAGATGCTACTTTGAGTCAGTTTGACTGTAAATAAGACCAGACAGTACATGAACATGAAGAGAAACGACTTTTAAAAAGATGTTAAAACCTTGAGATGTTTTTAATGTCTCACCCAGACCCTTTGCTGAGTAATAAGGATTTTGTGCCTCTTACCACCACTGCAGTTTTCCATCTGATAAAATTAGATATTTCTTATTCCTTACCCTACACAGGCAAAATCATGCAGACTTATTGAAATTTGTGTTTGACAAGATGGCATTTTAAATTCTTCTGTCAGTTAGAGCTCATTCACCAGTCACCAAGTAGAACAAAATATGCAGTGACTTAGAGAACAGGGTAACGATGGCGCTTTTGAAACCGAGACAACCACAAATGATTCATTGAGTTTCTATCATTTTCGGAAATGCAAAGACAGAAGCAACTTGGCTTTTAAGGCAAAACATATAGGATAATTGTGCCTCCATAAATAATTGTCACCCTAAGGTCTTCAGGGTGGTGAGATCACACTGTGATTTCAAAATTGCAACTTAGGTCCCAATCATAACCTGCATAACTGCAGAGTCCTCACCATTTTTCCCATTGTCTTCTTTGTCTGGTCTCCTGGATTTCTCATTGTGGGATGAGGTGGCGGAAGTTCTCACATGGACTCATCATGTCAGGCTAGATTTCAACTCACAATGCTTTGTGGAATCTCCTTTAATTTCTTTTAGTACTTCCTTTGGGTCATTATTTCTGTCATTGCTTCTCTGAGCTGAAGCTCTTGACTTCAGCATCCTCTAGGCTCTGACCATACCATTGTTGTAGCTTCTCTGTGTGTGGGTCACATGACTCCTGTCACTAAGGTTCTTTCTTTTTCTCAACACCACTGAATAGATTTTTGGATGCATCATTTCATCTAAGCTCTCACTGATCCTGGTAGCTAAAAGAACCAACCTGGGGTTCTTGGATTACTGTGGGCTGGAGGAAAAGAAAGTGAAATAATGGATTCTGTCACTTAATTAGATCCAATAGGTTGCACACACTGAGGAGGATTCCATGGCATTGCTGCTTGAGCCCCATTTTTGCCATCCTTTGGTTTATATGCAGCTCTTTTTTACTGGCCAGAGAGGCTTGTTCAGACTGATTTAAGAAACAGTCTTCACACTGCACAGAGACAGGTGAAATGGCCTTGATCTCATGGAGACAGGCAAAGATGAGCAGGGCCACCTCCAGCTAAGTACAGTGACAGAGCAAGTAATGGCAGAAGCCCTAGTTTGGTGGAGCCACAGCTTCTTACAAATAACAAATAAAGTCTTTATTTATTATTTTCTTGCTAAGGAATGGTAAGAAGAAATTGGACTGACCTCTATTGCTGTAGATCAGAGGCAATAACAATAGCTAAGGAGAAGAGGATGTCCCAGAACACTGGACAGCCCTTATATTCTCTCTCTTCCACATGATTATGGGGTTCTTAGAGTGATCATGGAAGGGAGGAAGAGAAAGTAAAGAAAGGCATTTTTGAAATAGATGCTATATAGTCTTAGAGTCTTTTTTTTTTGAAGTTCTTAATACTTTTACTTGGAAACTTAGAGCCAACTCCAGCTCTTCTGTCAATTCTCATTAGTTTACAGTGGCCATGGGGGCAGGGCCTATTTTTTTTTGTTGTTGTTGTTTGGTTCTGTTCATCTGTTTGTTACCAGGTGCAAGTCCAAAGCCAAAATAATTGATCAGTTGACCAATGGTCAGTTGCATCCCTCCAAGGCAGGAGCTCCTCCATCCACTCTGCCGCCCCAGCTGGGGTGGGGATCAGAGTGCTTGCAATTATGAAGGAAGGAAGGGGTTCTGAGGACAGCATGCTTGGCTGAAAGCCCACCTAGCTGGGAGTCTTTCTTTCTCTTCAATAAATTCACACCATGGGTTCTGCAGACATTGTTAGCATTGACCTGTTAATGGAATGAGGCCCCCAGCTGAGAAAGCAAGCTGGCATCCTGGAGGAGGAGACATCTACTGCAAGGCCTGGATGACAAAGAGCTGGTGAGGCCATGGACAAGCAGAGAAGGAGCGAGAAGAGGATGTCAGGCAGAGGGAACAGCTTGAGCAAAGACCTGGCACTTATGGGCTCACTGTTAATATTAAAAAGAATTTGCACTCAAACTGTTGAACCAGGACCTATCAAGTATTCAAGCAATTCTCCCATAGGGCCTTTGAAGTCTTCGGTTGACCTCGCTGTAGTTCAACCATCTGCCATTCTATGTCAGAATACCATTTCTGGGCAGGGCTTAGATTTTCCTTCTGTCTCAAGACTTCTTAGCACCTGTTAAATCAGTGGATACAAACAAAGTTAGGGAGAGGTTGCAAATAGGGCCTGAGGCTATATATGGTTCAGACAGGGCTTAGCAGGTAGGACCTTGAGGTTAGCTTCACAGCCAGTATTTTTGGAAACATGCTTGCATACTGTACACATTTGATGTTCCTATCCATGTAATAATTCATTCAGTATATTAAGAAAAAATGGCAGTGCTATTTTTTTTTTTTTTATTGAAGGAGACTGGGGCTAAGAAGGTCTGGATGTCTTGCATGAGATTATGCAAGTAAAGGTTGCTAAGCCAGGGTTTGAGCTCAGGTCTTTTGACTCAAATCTGGTGCTGCTTCCAGAACTGTGGGCTACTTCTCAGGGTCAGAACCAGCCCTTATCAAAACCATGAAGTTGATGGAGTTGTCTTTGGGCTTTCACTGCTATTCCCTTTACCTTTTACTCTCACCCAAGGGCAGAGATCCAACTTGTGCTTTCTGTTAAGTCTCGTGGCTCTCACATGTGATGAAATAGAAAAATGACTTGGGCTTTGGAATCAGTTCTGACACAAGCAGGGTTGGCTTTATGGGCTTACAAGTCATGCACTTGCCCAGGATGCTGCCCTCAGAAGGATTTGTACTTGGCTTAATGCTCTGCTATCTCTGTCCTGAAATTCTTCATAATCTGTTGAACACAAAGTCCTGCATTTTGATGTTACACTGGACTCTGTAAATGAATTAGCTGGTTCTGCTAATAAGCTTAGGAGCGTGGTTATGTTTCTTATCTGGATCTCAGTTTTCACATCTGTAAATTAGAACCAATACAATTATTATATCTCAAAACATTCTTAAGAAGAATAAATCAGATACAATAGCAAATTTCCCAACAAACTTTTGTACATGCGTGATTCTCACTAAATCTTAACCTATTTACATGTAATCTAGCATGGACACCTCTTTACTAATGCCCTACCCACTAGGTAAGCACTAAAACATTGGTCATATCTATGCAGAGCTTAGTTGTGTGCAAGAGAAGATGATTATTTAGATTTTGCTGTGGTGAGAGCAGATTAAATAACAAGGGGAAAAAAATTCCATTCTCATGCATCAGTTACTAGTTTGAACAAATGTGTAGACTTGGTAAGCAGGGTAATGAGGAAAACAAATGCTGCAGCAGAAACATTGGCTGAGAAATCAGACAGTTCCCATGACTCCCCAGCCAATACTAGGAGCACTCGTACTTCTCAAAGCAGCATTGAGCTTGCTCAGCTACGGTTGGCCCAAGGTGAACAATCAAAACAAAACAAAACAAAACAACAACAAACTAGAAAACCAATGTAAAGAAAAGAAGAGAATGCAGAAACCGAGGTCTAAAACTGAGGATGTTTTTAAAACTTTCTGTCTAGGGCTGGTCTAACCAGCGCAAATATATTATTTCATTTAAACTTCCTAAAAACCCAAAGAGGTAGGTAACATTAGTAGCATTTTGTAGATAAGGAAACTAAGCTCACAGAATACTTACAACTTTAGAACACCCCATAGAATTCATAGTGTTTAGAATACAAACTATTTGAAAAGAATAGAGCTAGATGAGATACTCACGATTGTCTAGACAGTGATGTCAAATGAGTTGCATCTCATGCCTTAACTGTAATTTTTTTTGTTAGGGCTGAGCTATGGTTTGCATATTTGTCCCTTTCAAAACTCATGTTAAAATTAAATCCCCAATGTGGTGGCATTAAGAGGTGGGACCTTTAAGAGGTGATTGAATCATGAGGACTCTGCTCTCATTAATGGGTTAATCCATTCACGGATTAATGGATGAGTGGGTTAATGGATTAATGGGTCATCATGGAGGCCAACTGGTGGCTTTATTATAAGAGAGAGAGAGACCTGAGTGAGCATATTAGCACGCTCAGTCCCCTCACTATGTGATGCTCTGTGCCACCTCAGGACCCTGCAGACAGTCCCTACCATCAAGAAAGCCCTCACCAGATGTAACTCCTTGATCTCCGACTTCTCAGCCCTCATTACTGTAATAAATAAATCCTTTTTCTGTAGCATACATCAGTATCTCCTGGAAGGCTTTTACAGCATAGGCTTCTGAGCATCACCCACAGAATTTTTGATGCAGCACATCTGAGATGGGGCCTGAGAATTTGCAGATTCCCAGATGAGGCCAATGCTACTGTCTGGATCCACCCTGTGAGGCTTCCTATTGGTAACTTTCTTGAGCATTGATCTGATTCCTTTTAAAATGAAATGAAATTATTCAAACATGCATTTTAAAAAATCATACAGACTTAGTTTTTAATGTCTGTCAACAGCAGAATATTTGTCAATAAGAAGTTCTGAAAATTTGCATCAAAAATTGTTTAATTAGTTCTTGCTTTGGCAGCACATATACTAAAATTGGAATGATACAGAGAAGATTAGCATGGCCCTAGTGCAAGGATGACACAGAAATTCATGAAGCATTCCCTGTTTTTTGGAATCTCTCTGTATTGTTGGTGGGAGCATAAGATGATGCAACCACTAAGGAAAATAGTATGGAGGCTCCTCGAAAAATTAAAAATAGAATTATCATATGATCCAGCAATCTACTTTTGGGACTATATCCAAAATAAAGCAGGATCTTGAAGAGGTATTTGCATACCTATATTCATTATAGCATTATTCACAATAATCAAGAGGTGGAAGTAACCTAAATGTTTGATGACAGGTAAATCAATGAAGAAATGTGGTATATACATACAGTGAAATATTATTCAATTTTTAAAAGGGAAATATCATCCTTTTTCTATTGTGTAGCACATGAATAAACCTTGAGGACATTATATTAAGTGAAATACGCCAGCCACGGAAGAGACACATCACTGTGTGATTCCATTCATATAAAGTATCAAAAGTAGCCAAAATCATAGACACACAAAGTAGAATGTTGGTTTCCAGGGTTTTCAGGGAGAGGAAAATTAGAGTTGGTATTTAGTGGTTATAGAATTTCAGTTTTACAAGATGAAAATGTTCTAGAGCTCTGTTGCAAAACAATATGAATATACTTAACACTACAGAACTATATACTTAAAAATGATGAAGAGGGTAAAATTTACGCCATCTATATTTTATCACAATTTTAACAATTGTTTATGTAAGGATAACACCTTCCCTGTAGGGCATAGCAATCCTTTGTTTTAAAGGTGTCTGAAGAGAAGTGAAGAGGGACTCTGTGTGGCCACTGTAATGGAAGCCAGGTACTTACACTAATTCCAGTCTTAGTAAGTCCCGTGTTCTCTGTGGATCTTTCCCCTCCAAGGTCCATCTTTAAAGTATGGGTGCCAGATCCAAGCGAAACATTCTAATCTGGCCTGCGATGTGACCTGGGCAATAAGGATTTTTGAAAGCTCCTTGGAGCTTGAATTGTAGCCAGGACTGTAGGTCATTGGTTGGATCAGTGATTTGTCACTTGTCGAAGGTTAAACATGATCTTCTTGAGGGTCTTGTCAAACTACATATGCCGAAGTCTCCGCCATTCTCTTCCTCACTGTCCCGGGTAATTCTGATTACCACCGTCTCCTCTCCCTCAACTAATATGAGAAATATACCATTAGAAAGCCATTTTCAGAGAAAATATGTTCATGAACCTCAGTTGCAGGAGCTTGAGTTCATTGTCAGCTGGGTTTGTACATGATCAAGGTCCTTACTGAGATTGGTAAAACAGTCACAGTTTAGGCTGTACGTGTACACATAGCCCACCTATCTTTTTTAATCTGCAGAGTCAGTCAAAGCTTAGAGGTAAAATATAGCACTGATGCTTAAAATCAAACTGCTGAATGATAACAAAACTTCACTATTTTGTTTAGAAATTAAGTTTGACAGGCTATGAATAATTTAGAAGATGATCGGAAGAACAAAGGAATAAAATTTTGTTTTAAGTTCAACATTTCTGTGGGGGTATTAAGCCCTGCCAAAGGTTTTTTTCCTTAACTTCCTAAAAATCAGTGGTGTCAGAGGGAACTTGAATCCTGGAGGATTGTAGCTGTAGTGTCAGAGTGTGCTTTGTATAAAATAATTCCAAGTGGAAACAATTTTCTACATATTTAGTCATTGTAAGCCAGTTTAGATACCCATGAGATCAGAAATTTGGCAGTACAGGAGACAGGGAACTTGCCAACTTAATGTTGTTTAATATTAATTAAATTTAATATAAACCAGTTATATGTTTTTCACATATTCCCAGGCAGAATGCCAGAGAAGAAGAAATCAATCTATATTCATATTATACACAAAGTATATCATCAAAATTTATTCTTAATTATACATTCACATTATGTAATATATATTATCATATCTTCTAATTTTCTGAACATTTCTAGAATAACTGAAAAGGAGAAATGGATTACCAAATCAATAATTTTCATGAAATAGAAAAATTTACTTGTATACTGACACAAGTATTATTCATACAAGTACAAATTCTCTGTACATTATGAAGAAGGCTAAATAATGCTACATGCCCTGCACAATAAGCACTCAGGAGTGGGAGCAATTCATGTTGCCCAGAATTTTGTGAGACAATATGGAAAAGATGATTACTTAACTGTGTTTTAAAGCATTTCTAAGACTATCCAACACCATTGGGAAACACTATTACTGAGCTGGTGCTACCTTGGAAAGGTATCCAGTAACACTTAGAGAGCAAAGGGAGGATATCAATCTTGGTGGATAGTCACTGCATCAAAGCTTTGATCGCTTTTAGGATGATGATCACACCTTACACATGTAATAGAACTATCATTGTTCCTTTGTCCTCTGGTACAAGTATGTGATATTTACAACAGGGCGAGAAGTCTCCAATTTCGACTTAGTATCCCAATTTCTGTTATAGTTGGTCTTTCTAATATTTAGGTGATTAATAATTAATGAAATATATAGAAAATTAGGCTTCTCAGCATTGGCTTTAATGTAGCAGAAACACTGGCTGTACATAAGGGAGAGAGTGGAAAAAGTTGTGGCTACAGGGTCATAGAAACTAGGTCCGTAATCCTTGTCATGTTCTAAACTCACCCCACAGACCTCATATTTTGTTAGATTTCAGATAGGAGATAAATCTGTACTTCACAAGCCAGAATTGTTAATAAATTCAGTGGGGAGTTTTGAAAATATAAAGATTCTCAAGAATGATTAGCCCACAATTTAGGCATGAAGTAAGCCCTAGGAGTGTGCATTTATAAAAATCGTCCAGAAGAGATTGCTGCTTCCAACCAAGATAGAATAGCAGAAACTATGTTTACTCTCCTACAGAAACTAAAAACTAGACAAAACACATGGCACAATGATTTTTAAAACATTAAGTATCAGACAAACAGAAGGCAATAACTCCTGGGAGATACAAAACAAATGAGGTGAGCCCTGCAATTATTTCAGGTAACTGCTTTGAGAGAATTTCCGGGTTGTAGTGTTGGTGGGAGGGATCCAGGTTGAGCCTGGTGGTCTCCGTGGACTGGGGAAATTGACTTGGGAATCCAAGGAAGCCAAAGTAGCTAGAGTTTACAGGGTGAAGTACCGGAGAAGAGAAAGCAGTGCACAGAAAAGAGTCTGAAAAACTGCAGAGTTCTTCCTCTAGTCTTCATCTGAGTACCGATCAGTTAGTTGCACACACGTAGAAAACTACACAATGACAAGAAAAAAGACAACATCAACTTTTGATTAAAACTCTCAGCAAACCAGAATAAAAAAGAAAACACACTCAACTTATTAAAAGATATTTATGATAATTTATAGCTAATGTTATACTTAAAATGGAAAAATTATGTTTCTTTAAAATCAGAAACAAGAAAGGATTATCTGCTCTCATCCTTTCTATTCGATGTTGTGCTGGACATTCTAACTAGTGCAATTAGGTAAGAAAAAGAAAAAAAAATGCATCCAGATTGAAAATGGTGAAGTAAATTTGTCTTTACTTGCAGGTGACCTCATTTTCTAAGTAGATAATCCCATGGAGTTTATATAAGAGTTATTCGAACTAATAATCAGGTTTAGCAAAGTTGCAAGATGGAAGATTAACATACAAAATTCAATTGTATTTAAATATCTTAGCAATAAATATTTAGAAATCGAAATAAATGTCATTATTAATAGCATATAAACATGAAATACTTATGAGCAGCAGGTGGGAAAGGAGAATGTAAAATCCAAGTATATAATAATTAATATTCTTAAAATTTGAGCAGCACTTTCTACTAACTGTGTAGATACTGGATGTTAGTGGTGAGTGGTGAGGATTAAATGAGATAAAAGCATGCACAGAAAATGAAGAAAAAAGTATCACACTTATATTAGGAATTTTGTAATGCTAGTAAAAAAAATATGTGGTTTTCAAGCACCCTCTTCCCCCAAGTCATGTTTTCTTTTAGAATTTGGAATAGTAGAAGCATTTCTTTTGGGAGAATAATGCAAGCTGTGCGATTTGTTCTATTTCCATTGTGCTGTGGTTAGATAGATACTCAGAACCAATTATGAATTATAGTCAATAATTCTAAAATACCTATCAATTTTATAAACGAGGTATCTTTCCTTTGGTGCTAGTTTTTTGTTTCAATTAACTTTCTTATAAACTGTTGATAAAAACTCTACATAACTAAACACTATATAAAACACATGACACAATGATTTTTAAAACATTAAATATCAGACAACAGAAGGCAATAACTCCTGAGAGATGCAAAACAAATGAGGTAAGCCTATTTTTTATTGAGAAGAGAGAAATAAATAAATAATGTGTGTATGTACGTACATTATAAATAATTGTATGTAATTATGTATGTATATGTATATATATGTGTGTATATTTTTTATATACATATACATATATACGTACATGGAAAACCCTAGCTACATATTTATTCACACTCACTCAATAAACATATAGGAACTACTGAGGTAGATTTTATAGAATCCCTACCTGGATGGAAACTAGCCTCATTGTTGTACAATCACCCAGCATTTGTGAGTGTGTGTGTGTGTATGTGAGTCTATCTTGTGTGTCTGTGTACCTTGATTCCATTGAATCTCAGTCTTTAGGGACTTTGGGTTGAAAGAAAATCCATCCTTTTTTGGCCAAGGAGGATGAGGCGTTAGTTAATTAAATTCCGCGTAGGCATTTTTCCTGATGCAATAATACTAAATCCAGGGATAAGTTGTCTTGGCAACTGCTTTGTTACTAACGTGCTTTTTAGGATTGTGAATAAACATGTTTGAGAATGTAAATCACCAGCTGAGGTTCAACAGATTTTTTTCTCTTGTTCTACCAAAGAAACTGGACACTAATTGATAATACGGTACACTTCCATTTATGTTTGAATAATGCAGCAACATTTACAGCTCAGTCTTTGGATGATTACATATATTATTCATGCTTTCAAAATGTAATGAAGATACATACTTAATATCAGTTTTCCAATTCAACTTTATAACCAAGCTCAGAGATGGT